GTTTAGTTAAAAAATAATAATCTGTCAAATTGAATTTTAATATAGGGTATGTAATATCATTGAACTGACATTTCACTTGTCAGACGCATGTTGACTCTGTTTTATTATATTATTTTAATTTTTGGCACATCTCAGCTGCTTTTCGGCATTATTAATGTAGACATTACATTTTCCTTATTTATAATCATGAATTTATTATATTTTAATATTGCCTTAGCCTATAAGTGAATAGAAATGTTTGGCAAATGACAGTCTTCATTTGTTTTCAATGTCAAACCATGCCTTAAATATTTTCAAGGTCAAACAATGATAAGCGTTTTTTTTTGTAATTCTTTCCATGTATATCTACAATCTAACTATATTTCTATGAATCAAAAAATCCTAGAACATTTCCCGAACAAACTTCAGGTAGATTCATGAAAATCCGAATTATAGTTAGAGAATTAACCATTCATACATAGTTACAGAAGAATTTTATGTATATGATCAGGTAATAGACATCAAGAAAATGGTAATCATTTTTTTTGCAAGTGTTGGTCAATATTTACCGGGTATCCTGAAATGCTCATGGTATGTGCATGATCGGCAGTGACTACTATCAGAGTGTCATCCTCGCTGGTTTTGTTAAGAGCAACTTGCACTGCTTTTGCAAACTCTAAAGTTTCATCCAAGGCTTTGCGTGGTTTTGTATCGTGATGAGCCTGATCTATTCTACCACCTGAAAATAATTATTATAAACTAGTGGTGTATGGCATCGTGCCTTAAGGCAAATTTCTAGAACTTCTCGTACCGTAATAAAATATTCGAGAAATGTTAAACGTTTTCAAATATATTATTACGAATACTGTAACTTTCATTCATATTTTTGCTATCTTGTTTTGTAAATCATAAATCAATTTATTACCTCGTCATTTCATTTCGAATTCAATTTCAAAAAAAAAATAGTTGTCTCATTTACACAAAATTGAAAAAGTGCTCCTGTATAGTCACAGTCTAAACGCACTTGGGTAAATATTTGTACCAGAGTGGCGCTTAGACTGTGCTTAGCCTGGGTAATTTTTTGAATTTTTTTTAATCCAAAATTACAAATAGAACACATTTTTCTAGATAAAGGATTCTACTGACGAGCAAAGTGAAAAAGATGATAATTTCATAGGAAAGGACTCTCCCGACTAGTAAACTAAAAAAGACAGTAAATAGAAAAAGGACTCTACTGACGAACAAAATAAAATTTAGTAAATAGAAAAGGGATTCTACTGACGAGCAAAATAAATACTATTTATTAGAAAAAGGACTCTACTGACGAGCGAACTAAAAAACAATTTATTAGGAAAAGGACTCTACTGACAAGCAATCTATAAAAGACAATAAATAAAAAAGGACTCTACTGACGAGCAAAATAAAAAAGATGACAGTAAATATAAAAGGGACTTATAAAAGGGACGAGCAAACTGAAATAAGACAGTACATAGAAAAGGACTCTACTGACGACCAAACTAAAAAGGAAGACAATTTCATAGAAAAGGACTATACTGACGAGCAAACTGAAAAAAAAGGCCATTTTAATGGAAAAGGACTCTACTGACAAGCAACCTGAAAAGAAGACAATTTTATAGGAAAGGACTCTACTGACGAGCAAACTAAAAAAGACAGTAAATAAGTAAGAAACCCTACCAACGAGCAAACTGAAATTGAAAACATTTTATAGAAAAAGAACTATACTGACAAGCAGGGAATAAAAAGAGACTCTACTGACGAGCAAACTTATCAACTAGTTATATATATAAAAAATTGCAGAAAAAGGAATTCTACTGATGAGCAAATTAAAACGGAATGCAAAACTACTTTAGTGCTATACATACGAGTTATGATAACAAATATAAAACACTTTAGCAATTATTTAATATAATTACTAACGGTAGAATAACATGTGAAAGTATCCAATGGCTTTTGGTCCTTAGGGTGGTCCTTAATATGGATATTTTCGAATTTCCTTAATCCCGGGGCTCAAATGCTTTCAAATTGATAAAAATAAATTCTATTAAAGTTTCATGTGTTAATATTAACTTTAAGATAGTCCGCAATTCAATCAAAGGAAATAACAAACTTTGGTTGGTGTGCGGCATATGTTAGAGTTAAAATTAAGACTTGAAACTTTCAGAGAATTTTCTTTAACTATTTTGGAAGCGTTCTCAACCCTGGGAGCAAAGAAATTCGATAACATCCATATTAAGGACCACCGTAATACACGCATACGTACTTGGTCTCGATGCAAAAAGTTACCTTCAACGAATAAAAAGAATCCTTTCTCCTCCTTGCCCAAAATATCAATAGCCTTTGCAACCATTTCTGCTAAACTTGGCTCTTTGCTCTCCAAATTACCATCGACCACATCCAAATGGTACTTGCAGTGATTATTCTCGAACAACCCGAGTAAAAAATCAGTCTTGTCAGCATCCACAGCATCCAGTTGCTTTTTGTTCCATACATATTCACTTTTGCCCTTTTTACCCATCTCGGTTTTCCATTCCTCGATCAAATTTCTACCATCGCTCCTTTGACCAGGTTCTTGTTCCTCGTCTTTGATATCTTTGGGTAAGAATTTTTGGCGTCCTCCGCCCAGGATGACTTTGAAGTTTTTACCAGGTTCCTGGTGAATGAGCTGGTGGGCTATGTCTCTGCATTTTAAGGGATCGGCTTTGCCCTTTTTAATGACGTCTGTATCTGATTCCCAATCTCGATCTGCAGTTCGGGCATAGGTACCGGCTGGTGAGGCGTGGGTCACTCTGGTAGTGGTAACAATACCTGGAGAAAAGGGCAATATTTTTTCAACAAAATAATTGCTTTTGGAAAAAAAATTTTTTTCAAAAAATATTTTTGTAATTTTGGACCAAAAATCCAAAAAATCATCCAGGCTAAGCACAGTCTAAGCGCCACCCTGGTACAAATGTTTACCCAAGTGCGTTCAGACTGTTTATATGCTGGAGCACTTTTTCAATTTTGTCAAAAACTATTGAAAAATGTGAAAATGCCCCCGAGATAAGCACGGTATTAGTGAAAATGTCGCACAGAATTATTTGCAAATGCGTTAAGACTGTGACAAAACGGGAGCACTTTTTCAATTTCAAAAATGTTCATTTCACTTTGCTCGTCAGTAGAGTCCTTTCCTATGAAATTGTCTTTTTTATTTTGCTCGTCAGTAGAGTCCTTTTTTACTCAATAGTGTTTCTGATCTTAAAGAGCATACTAAAATATTGTAGGGCTATGGAATACTAATGGTTTTTTTATAAAAATAATTTCAAATTAAAAAATACACCGTCAATTATTTTTTTATTTACTGCTTTCGGTTTTAGTTTGCTCGTTAGTAGAATCATTTATTTAAAAAAATGAGTTCTATTCGAGTACATTTTCTATTACATATTACATTTTCCAAAAAAGTTTATATGAGTTTGCTCGTCAGTAGAGTCCCTTTTCTATTTACTGTCTTTTTCAGTTTGTTCGTCAGTAGAGTTCTTTTCTATGAAATTGTCTTCTTTTTTAGTTTGCTCGTTAGTAGAGTCCTTTTTTATAAAAATTGTCCTCTTTTCAGTTTGCTCGTCAGTAGAGTCCTTTTTCTAATAAATTGTTTTTTATTTTGCACGTCAGTAGAGTTCTTTTCTATGAAATTGTCTTCTTTTTTAGTTTGCTCGTCAGTAGAGTCTCTTTTCTACTCTATTAGAGAAAACTTTCTATTACATTTACATTTTCTAAAAAAGTTTTTTATTTTAGTTTGCTCGTCAGTAGAGTCAGTCCCCTTTCAAGTTTTCATTTTGTATTTTGCTCGTCAGTAGAGTCCTTTTTATAAAATTGACTATTTTTTCTTGTATATTATATTATAGTATGTTAAAAACATATATATATATATATATATATATATATATATGTTATATATATGTATATATTATATTATATTATATTGACAAAACAATTGCTTTTGAGGAATAAAAATTATTTTGTAATTTTGGATTAAATTCAAAAAATTACCCAGGCTAAGCACAGTCTAAGAGCCACTCTGGTACAAACGTTTACCCGAGTGTGTTTAGACTGTTTTCTATACTGGAGCACTTGTCCAATTTTGTGAAAAAAACTATTGAAAAATGTGAAAATGCCGCCAAGCTAAGCACAGTATAAGTGACTATGTCGTACAGAATTATTAGGCAAATTAGGCAACTATTTTTTTTTTGAAATTGAATTCGAAATGAAATGACGATGGGAGATAAATTGATTTATGATTTACATTTGATTTGCTCAGATATAACAAACAAGATAGCAAAAATAATGAAAGTCAAACAGTATTTGTAATGATATATTTAAAAACGTTTGAAATTTCTCGAACATTTCATTACGGTACGGGAAGTTCCAGCAATTTGCCTTAAGGCACGGTGCCATACACCACTAGTTTTTTGTTTACCTGTAGCTTTTCCTTCATCCTGTGCCCATTTGGCAATGGATGTAACATGGTTGCCTTTATTAGCCATGTGTTCACAATTATCACGAGTAACATTGGCGGTGACACCAATAGTCCCATCGTTGGTTTTGACTCCACACAAATAGGCAGTAGCACTGCAAGCACTGTCAGCAGTTTGGGCATCTACACAATAAGTCTAGAATAAAAATAAATCAATTGAACAAGGTTGTTTAAAGTTTTGAAGTAAAACTTCTTTAGGCGCGACACGGGTGTAAATCCGTACAAATGCAACGAAAACGCCAACATGAAGTTGAAGACTACGACGCTAGTAAGCGCAGCTATCGCAATTATTTGATCTATTCTGCGAGCAAAACAAAAAATACATCAAATGTCAATTTATATGTCGAAAACAAACAAAAAATGTTTCGACTTTCACTTGAGTTGTGTATTTAGCTCGTAGTCTCTAAACATTTTTTGACGTAAAACTTCTTTAGGCGCGACATGGGTTAGCAGTATAATTCGTGAGTTAATAAAAGTGTCAGGATCGGAAGAATATTTTATCCCGTCCCCCATAAATAATTGTAGTGCAAATGATCGCAAATAAATAATGAAACTAAGGAAAAATCTGCGCTGCGTAAGAAATGATAGCTTTGGCTATGTATGTTTTGTGTGTGATCGAATTTGGCTTCAAAGTGACTTAGAAATATCAAATGATGCTCAAAAACATATTCTTAATCATGTTTTATGAATATTGATTCAAATAATCAGGTTGGATGTCAAACTTGTCGAAAGATATTAAATTCGGGTAAAATTCCCACTTTGTGTACATTTAACGGGTTTGTATTTCCACCTATACCAAATTATCTACCTAAACTAGATAAGAAAGGTTAATTTCACATAGGTTGTGTTTCATGCAAATTAGACAATTGCGACATGCAAATGGACAATTTGGAATGTTTGGCCAAATTATAAATGTGCTTGTTGGCATTAATAATATGGTTAATTTATTACCTCGTAATATTGATGATGATCATTGCATTAACGTTCACATAAAAAAGCAAATGATTCATAGATCAAGCTATGTGCAGGGCTTGATAATTAAAACAAATATAAAAGTATGGCTTCAATTTGTTAGGCAAGACGCATATTACAGCTGTTTATATCGTCAGCGAAAAAGTAAAAAAATACAAACAGTAAATGAATGTATGTTAATTTTAATTACATGATGTTCTTCAAACACAATTGTTACAGGATGAGTTAGTTTGCAAAAACAATATTTGTTTAGGCGTTGTTTAACATAATCCACTGTGCGAATGAATATTATAGAATTTATTAATCAGAAATTACTTTAAAACGATCATGTCATATTTCAAGTACGACTTTGATTACATTATTGTTTGTAAATATTATACATATTTTTAATGCAATCATAAATATATAATTTATAATTTATCATTCTATAAATGTGTATAATGATTGACGAGACTAATAAACGCGTGCATCACGAGTGTTACCTACCATATTACTAATAAACATTATTCAAAATTTTTATATGATGTATTTATTTTTACTCAACTTAAATTTGCTACTTTATACAGTAGCAAATAAGTTTTACTTCAATCGCGTGTGATCCTTACGCGCACTCTTTTTTTTAATAGTCAATTTCTAGTTACCTTCGATAATCCGGTGTAAGGAAACTTCTCAAAAGACAACTGTTTATTTTCATCCCCTAAAAGAACTCTGGCGGCAGTCAAAGTCGGTATTGACATTCCGTCTCCAATGAAAATGATGATGTTTTTGGCATCGTTAGTGTTCTCTTTGCGTTCTAGGCGTTTGGTCAATTTTTCTTTGGCCTGTTTTGTCCAAAATTCGGCGCTTTTTTCGTCGTCCTTGACTGTTGCACGGGTGTGTAGCACTTTTGGATGATCTAAGACCAAAATTATACTTGAACATAAGTAGAAGCCATAGCAAAGCGTGGCCGGGTATGCTAGTATATATATATATATATATATATATATATATATATGACGACATTGCCATTTTCTTTATCTTTTTCAAATGTCGATTACTAAGCAATAAAACAATTAAACTAAATGAATTTTTTATTATTAAGTGTAATCGGTCAACTTTGAGGTCGATTTCTATAATTGTTGCAATAAAAATATGATTGACTAATAAAATTTCAATATTCATTTTTGGAGGCCCAATATTAATTTCTGGAGGATCAATATGCATTTTTGGAGGCTTAATATGAATATTAGAGGTTCTAATATAAATGTATGGAGGCCTAATAATGATTTCTTGAAGCTTAATTTGATTTTTTTGAGGTTTAATAAAAACTTTTTTCGAAGCTTAATATAATTTTCTGGAGGCTCAGTATAAATATGTGGAAGCTCAATATGAATTTTTGGGGGCTTAATAGGAATTTATAAAGACTTAATAGGATTTTTGCATAAATACGAATTTATGGAGGCTTAATACATGTTTATGGAGGCTTATTACGCATTCATGGAGTACGAATTTATGGATCTTTAATGCAAATTTATGGATGCTTAATGCAAATTTATGAATGTTTATTATAAATTTATGGATGTTTATTACAAATTTATGGATGTTTATTACAAATTTATCAAGGCTTAGTGCAAATTAATTTGGGCTTAGTGCAAATTCATGGATGCTTAATATAAATTTATGGAGGCTTAATATAAATTTATGGAGGCTTAGTACGATTTTATGGAGGCTTAGTACGATTTTATGGAGGCTTAGTACGATTTTATGAAGGCTCTGTATGATTTTTTTGGGCTTTTTACAAATGTTGGAGTTTTGATTCGAATTTGTAGAAGTATAATATGAATTTCTAGAGGCCTATTATAAATTTCTGTTTTTTTTGGGAAACTTATTAAAATATTTTAGGTCTAATATAATATTACATACTTAATGAAAAAAATCAGACTTTATACAATTTTTTCAGACTTGATTGTAATTTTTCGGACTGAATGAGATATTTTTCAGACTTCATAAAAACCCTTCAGGCTTAATAAAAACTTTTCAGACTTCATAAAAACCCTTTAGACTTCATAAAAACCCTTTAGACTTCATAAAAACCCTTCAGACTTCATAAAAACCCTTCAGACTTCATAAAAACCCTTCAGACTTCATAAAAACTTCCCAGACTTCCTAAAAAAAAAATTCAGACTTTATAGGAAATTTTATTTATTTAATAGCATTTTATATTTATTCAATAACAAATTTGTATTAAGCCTCCAAAATCTCTATTGAGCCTCCAATTGAGGAATTTTATTTTATTCAATATCATTTGTATTAAGCCTCCAAAATCTCTATTGAGCCTCCAATTGAGGAATTTTATTTATTTAATAGCAATTTTCATTTATTTAATAATAAATTTATATTCAGCCTCCAAAATCTCTATTGAGCCTTCAAAATTTCCAATTGAGTTTGAAAATCCTATTAGATTAGATTAGATAAATTCAATCAGGTTTTTTTTGGTATTTTATTTATTTAATAGCAATTTTTATTTATTAAATAACAAGTTTTTATCGAGCTTCCAAAATTTCCATTTGTGTCTGCAAAGTTTTAAGTAAGCCTGAAAATCCTATTTAGACGCACATCAATTCATATCAGGCCTCCATAATATCATAATAGGCCTCCAAAAATTTCACCAGAAATTTTCTGAAGCATAAAAAAAATCTTACCAGCTTGAAAAAAATTATATCAAGTCTGGAAAAAAATCTTACAAAGTCTAAAGAAAGTTTTTAAACCTTAAAAAATTAATACTTAATGACAAACATTTTCTACAAAGTTTTAAAGATTTTTGTAAAGCTCCAAAATGTTACTAATTTCTGTAAAGCTCCTACCAATTTTATTAATAGCAGGTTAACTAGAAATTTTTATTTTATATTAAAAAAAATATTTTATATAAAAATTTGCATTTCCATTAAAACTTTTGACTTTTTTAGAAATTATGAAGTGAATACAAATTTTAGCCAGAACGTCCTACAGATTTAGAATCCTAGACTTACAAATCCAACATATGTCTTTACTACTTAAGTTATTTTTAACTGTTCCGATTTTAAATATCCGAAACATTCCGACTTCAATATATTAAAAAATTATTATTTAAACTAAATTTCTTATATAAACTAATTATTCAATTTTGGAGACTTAGTCGCACAATCACAGAGACATACTTAAGACAATTTTATTTACAATTTTAAAAGACTAAACTATAGGGTCCGCCGAATAACTTTATTTTAAAAAAAACTACTGAATATTTCCTTCAGTTTCTTTTTTATTTGAAAGTACAATCCTTTCAGTTAATAACGAAATTAATTCAGTTAATAATGATTATAATAATTTCATTCAAAAATGAAAAAAAAGCATCGGTTGACCGTTGAAAAAATAATGAAAATGAAAATGAAAAATGTTAAATGGCATACCCTATATTATTATATACTAACCTCTGTACAATTCCATACATTCGCACAATCCAAGTGCAAAAAGAACCAAAAATCCTATTTTAATATCCATTTTTTTTGGTGTCACTAATTTTTTTATCACTGAGGTGAGTTTTGGATTCGGCGCCTCCAAAACGCAAACTGATCGGAAAATTATCGGACGTGGTGTGATATATAGATTTTAAAAGTAAGATTATTGTTTGTTAATTAATTTATTTTTTTATCTTTTGATAAAGAAAAATAGGGCACGTGTTTTGGAACTAATCGTACGATTTTTTAAAAATAATTGGAAGCTGAAATATTTATTTGGTAATGATATTTTGGTTAAAAATTATAAACTGTACATATTTGTATAGTAAATTAAAAGTATAGACATTTTTAATGCAAAATGTCTATATAATAAAATATTTTTTTAAAAAAATATATATTAAAGGGGCAATTCTGCCTCATAAAATAGCACTATCTTATTCTTATTTTTTGTTAGTGAAACTGTAAAAATGTCTATTTGCCGTGCAATCAGGCGTATTTTACATATAAACAAGCAAGGAAGAATGTAATGATAACAGAATTCTTATTTATATGTAAAATACGCCTCATCGCACGGCAAATACTTTTCACAGTAATTTATTATATACATCCTTTTTTTAATTTGTCTATGACAGATATATTCGCACTTATCTAGGTTTGTATTAACGATGACGTACATATTCGCCATCATCTTGTTTATAACATCAACAAATTTAGCCTTAAAATTCTTGACAAATAAAAATGATAGATTGACAAATTAATCGATGTTTTTATGGATGAAGGATATATTTGGCACTATATTCTTTTTAAGCCTCCAAAAATTGTAAAATATCTCCAAAAATTGTTAATGCCTCCTAAAAATTGTCAAAAACCTTCAAACATTATCAAACGCCTCCAAACATTGTAAAAAGTCTTCAAACTTGTTTTTATGATGGATATCTCTATCATTGATATCATAACTAACTTTAGCATTGACACTATTACCTGTTTGAAGAATTTAATAAATTAAAAAAAAATGCGGAATACATTTTTTTTATAAAGTTTCCATTTAAATATATTAAAACCTTAGATCATATTTTTTCTTTACTTACCTTACTTTCAATATATGTATATAGTTTATAAGATATTTCGATTCTGTGTCTTTCAAATGTTTTTTTGAATCATCCAAATCGGATGCTCAGTTCTCTCAAAAACTGAATTACCATTTTCAACACTCTCTGCTCCGTATCTCCGAACATACTAGACCTACCTTTTACTAAACCTTACCAGCACATATCCCGATAAATACAAATCGAATGTTTTTTAAATCATTCAAATCGGTTAATCCGTTCTCTCGGAATCGTCTATGAAAGATTGTATCCGCACATACATACAACAAGTATAAGCTCACATGCAAAATTAAAAATATTAAAAAAAATGAAACAACAATTTAATATAAAATAATTGTTTTTATTTAATATAAATATAATTCTGGTGTACAAATTAATAAATTAATTGGACATTGACTAGTTTTTACACAATTAGTTGCTGAAATCAGCAGAAATTTATGAAAAATAGACGGATATATCCGTCATAAAGGTATAGACAAATACCATTCGATAACATATCGATAAAAAATGTTACTTCTACATAAATAATATAAGTATTTTATATTATTACAAATTGCATTATATACCTATGATCAATATATTTGTCATTTATAAATGTATATATTTATGCCGGATATATCCGTCATATGATTTTATAACTACAGATATTCTCAACACTATGTTATGTTTGTGAAGTTAAAAACATAAGTGGAAGACGACGTTTTGTTTAATATTCATTTTATTTACTTGCCGGATATATCCGCCGTCGATCGGAAATTCAAATAAAATAACCGGATTTAACTGACATGGATCTAAAATCTGAATTATATCCGTTAAATTTTTGATATTAGAGTGATGCCAGAATTATCCGTCATCAATCTAAAGACTAAATCCATCATCAACATTCTGTCATGTTTGAAAAATTTACAAAAAATGTTTGAAATATATGATGCCGAATATATTCGTCATTCATAATTATCTTTATATTTATGAATTTGTGCCGGATATACTAGTCAAAAGTATATACATAAATTTGACATGCTTATTATTTATAGAAGTTTAAATTTGTAAGATACTAAGTTGATGACGAATATATCCGTCATGCACCAAATTTCTTTAAATTTCGAACAAATATTTTATTTTGTAAAATTTTTTGGAGGCTTTTAAAAATGGTTTGGAAGCTTTTAAATATTTTTGGAGGCTTTTGACAATTTTCTGGAGGCTTTTGACAATTTTCTGGAGGCCTTTGACAATTTTTGGAGTCGTTTGACATCTTTTGGAGGCGTTTGACAATTTATTGGAGGCCTGTGACAATTTATTGGTAGCTTGTTACAATATTTGGAGGCTTTGACCATTTTTTTTGAAAGTTTTTGACAATTTTTGTATAGGTTTTTGATATTTTTTTGGAGGTTTGTGGCAATTTTTTGGAGGCTCGTGGCAATTTTTTAGAGGATTTTGAATATTTTTGGTGGCTTTCAAAATTTTTAGGAAACTTTTGGCAAATTTTTACAAATTTTTAACAATTTTTGGGGTATGAAAACTTTTAGTACAAAATATAAACTGTTATGTATAAAAAATTTAAAATCAGATTGAAAGACGTCATGACGGATATACACGTCATTACGGATATACACGTCATGACGGACATACACGTCATGACGGACATACACGTCATCCATATAAATAAATGCCAGATTTGTTAGCCAATGATATAAAAGCTATTAGTACAAAAACTACGACATATTCGAGAAATTTCAAGTTTATGTAAAAAAAGACAAAACATATATAAATTTGTGACGGATATTTTTGTCATATATAAAGCAATGCTGGATACGTAATAACAAGTATAAACACCTGTAAATTTAAGACTAGACACCAACATTCTGATTTATGTAAAAAATATATCCTTTATATCCGTCATCCTCAATAAGGCTGTATCTTCCCACTATACACACCTTAGCATTTTGAAGACGTCATGACGGATATACACGTGATTTATATAAACAAGTGCCGGATATACTTGTGAATGATATAAAAACTATTTGTACAAAAAATAGGACATTCGAGAAATTTCATTTTGTGTATTTGTGTAAGTATGAGTTTGTGACGTATATATTAGTCATAAGAGGAAGTATAAATTAATACCCCGATAATACTTTACTCATAAAAATAATGTTTTTAAACGCATATAAATATAAAGACATTCCGATTTGTGTAAAAAAAATTATGTCGAATATATCCTCCTCCTCAATAAGGCTGTACCTTCCCACTATCGCACATCTTAGCCCCTTCTCCAACACAAGCAGCATAGGCCATCAAATGCGGTATCACATTCTGTTCATAATTCCCTGTAAACAGATGGGCCCAAGGGCCAACTGCGAAAACGGCCACATCATCGGCACCATGGGTCTCCTTCGACAAAGGTGCAACACTGGGAGACTTGAAATCGCGATCGTTTATATCGACGGCCTCTAAATAGTTTTTGCGTCCTCCGGACTTGTGAACGTGTTTCTTGTAACCCGGACCATTGGCGTAGGTCAGGGTTGCCATTGGGAGGTCGTCTTCGGCCTTGTCTAGGGAAACGCCGAATATGTCGTTACCACGATCCTGGTAAAGGATAGATAAGATAATATTAAGTTGATCTTTGTCAAATTTTTTGTCAAATTTTTTGTCAAATTCATAGTTTTTCAAAAATCTATTTTTTTCAAAGTAAATTTTTTCAAAAATGTTAATCGTTTTTAAAAGAATAGTAATATTTGGTACGGGAAGTTACAGCAATTTGCTTTAAGACTAGATGCCATGCGCCCCACTAATTAATTTTTAATTGGAATGAAAAACGGGACAAAAAGTATCACATATGTTTCTCCTGGCTCTAAACTACCTCTCTGCCAATTTTCATCTAAATCGGTTCAGCCGTTCGTGAGTTATAAGTGTTCTAACTTAAACGATCCTCTTTTATATATATATATATATATATATATATATATATATATATATATATCTTATATATAAAAATGGAGCTCTCTTTCAAATGTCCGAATAAAACTTGAAAACGGCTGAATCGATTTAGCCAGTCTTAGTCTTGAAAAATTCGTGCCAATCCAGAGAAAGTCCAAAAGGTGAGAAATTATTTCAAATCCGCGAAGAAAATTTACATTTATAATTTGAACATTTTTGTAGAAGCGTAATTTAAATAAAACAATGGACGGTGGCTAATACGTCAAATGTCAAATGTTTTCGACAGATGATGTTCAATTACGTTTAATAGGATGTTTTACGTGAATATTATTTAATTATGATAAATTTGTAGTAAGTAGTTTTGTTTGTAGTTTTATTTATATACAAAAATGTTAGTAAACGGGCCGCAAGTGTTAACATTTTTATTATTAATTAGCTGACCCGGCAAACGTTGTTTTGCTAAGTAAGGTGTATTTGAAACAATTTCTAGAGAATCAAAACTAATTAATACTTTAAGTGCATAAGAATTAGGTGTTGTTTCAATGATATATACAATGATGTATTATAAAAACAATAAACCCTATTAGTTTGTCGATATTTTGTCTGGAAGTTTTATACACAGTTTTATACACAGTTTCAAATTCCTGCGAGGAAAGATAGAAAATGAATTAAGTATTTTTTATTTTACCTGCTTTCAAGTAACATTCGATGAATTAAAGTAATTTTAATAAAAAGTTAATATGTAGAGCAGGGCGAGGCACAAAGGTCGAATTTGACTTTGGGCAAATATAAACTATATTGTGAAAACCATAACAATTATATCAAAACAAAAAACACATTTCAAACGAGGAATTATCTGACTACGTTCAGTAAAACTGCCAGATACTTCATCATTGTAGAAATGTGCTTTTTTTTGCTGTCTTTCAAAAATTTGTTATGCCAAGTGGCAAACAGGTTTAATGTCTTATTTTAATTTTAAGGGTATTTTACAAAATAATAACATTTTTAACTAATGCTAATAAACTACTAACGGAAAAAATACTTTTATTATGGATTTTTAAAGATTACAGTTTTCAAATCAAGGTTATAGCTGGTTATTAGGGTTTGTCGGTTTTCAAAAACCGTTTTTTTGGCGAAAATTATGGAATTCGAAAACCGGTTTTTAGTGAAAAAAGTCGGTTTTCACTGTATAAATGGAAAATGACAAATATAGCCAAATATAAAAGATAGATGAAAGCGTTTTGATTTTTGAAATCATATAGGTTCAATAGCATTTGATATCTTATAAGTCTGCAATGGTTTCCAGAAATGTTTTGTATATATTAATTTAGATTTTTATACCAGTGTATATATACTTAAAAAGAGTTTTAAACCCTAAAAGCCAGAAATAAAAGAACAAAAAACTTAGAATTATTATATGAGGCTTTAAAAACAACTAGCAATAAGCATAATTTGGTCGCAAGTATGAAAGTATTTTCTATTTCAGAAAATTTTGTGAGTGAACAAAGAATATGTCTAAGTAGCAATTTGATAGAAGTTTTCAGTTTTTTTGAATTATATTTTATTAAACAAAAAAACACTTAGAATGTTTAAAATTAATTAATTAAAATTGCTCGGAACAGACAATACCCGAGTTTAGCTTAATTGTTTTTAAAACTAAAATTGATATTAACAAGTATGTATCAACATGTACCTAATATTTTTTTTAATTATTTTTATTCGAAAACTTTTCTTTCACCATCATAACAATATTTTCATTCTCATATGTGAAAATGATGCGTGAATAACGAATAATTATTTTCAAAGTTATTTAATCAAGATAAACTATTATTTTTAGTCAGACCAATTAAAATTAAAATAATTTTGTTTACTATCTATAAAATTAAACAATAAATAAATTCAGTCAAATACTGCTCGAAATTACACTAAATTTGCGGAGAAATTACAGTTTAGCATAAATTTATTTTCTATATAAAATTCGAAAATCGGTTAAAACCGGTTTTTTAGTAAAATTAAAATTTGAAAACGGGTTTTCTGAAATGTCGGTTTTTGTATAAACCCTACTGGTCATACATCTTTTTCCCTCTACTTTCAAATATTGTTGTTAAACAATGCTTAACTATACTGGTTTTTGAAACATCGGTGGTGGACTTTTTTAACCCCGGACTTTTATATATTACTATCTATTCTTGTGGATCTATTCTTCGATAAATTCTGGGAAATTATAACTGGAAAAATGTTATTCGACAAAATGTCTATTTGATCGATACCAAATTTAGGTTCTGAATTTAAAAAACATAAATAAAAAATAATATAACCTAGAAAATGTTTTATAAATATCAATGAGTATATAATTATACAAATTAGATCTTTCAGAGCACCGTGGTTGAGAAAAATATGCTAAAAAGTGCATTTTCATATTAACATTTCAAAAGAGTTGATATTTTGAGGCTCTAGTAAAACTTGCAGCCCGTTTAATAAAGTTCTTGTGTATAAATATAACTACAAACAAAACTACTTACTACAATTTAATTATAATTAAATAATATTCACGTAAAACATCCTATTAGACGCAATTAAACATCATCTGTGGAAAACATTTGACATTTGACGTATTAGCCACCGTCCATTGTTTTATTCAAATTACGCTTCTACAAAAATGTTCAAATTAAAAATGTAAAGTTTGTACGCGATTTTGTAATAATATCTCACCTTTCCGACAACCTACTGATTGGCACTAACTATTCAAGACTGCAACTGGCCAAATCGGTTTAGCCGTTTTCAAGTTTTACTAAGACATTTGATCGAGAGCTCCATTTTTATATATAAGATTATTACTCTCTAGTTTTTTATTATTATATGTCTTTTTCTACTTACAGGGTACCCTGCCATAGACATGGTGTGTGCATGGTCGGCAGTGACTACTATCAGAGTGTCTTCGGTGCTGGTTTTGGAGAGGGCTGTTAGTACGGCTTTGGAGAATTCAACGGTTTCGTCTAACGCTTTTCTTGGTTCGGTTTTGTGGTGAGCTTTGTCAATTTTGCCGCCTGCGGATTAAAGGTAGGATTAGGTTAATAGTTAGATATAAGTTTGTATGAGGTAGGCGTAAAATTGATATAGGTGATTTTTAGGTGATTCTGGTAAATGCTAGATTTATTTTGGAAAATTGTGGGGGTTTTTAGTGATTTCCAGGAATTTTCTGGTTATCTCCACGAAGTTTCCAGGGATTTTTAGAGATTTTCAGGGATTTCTCGATATTATTGGAGAATTTTAAAAATTTCCTGACATTTCTAGAGATTTCTGATGATTTTTTAGATTTCTAGAGATTTTTAGAGGTTTCTGAAGATTTGCAGGAATTTTTTGGTTATCTCCACGAATTTTCTAAGGATTTCTAGAGATTTCCTAGTATTTCTAGTAGATTTTTAGGGATTTGTAGACGTTTCTAGGAATTTGAGTATTTTCAAGGTTTACTGGACATTTTTAGGGTTTACTGCACATTTTTAGAGATTTTTAGTCATTTTAGGAATTTCTGGATATTTTTAAAGATTTCTGGACATTTATAAATATTTTTAGAGGTTTCTGGAGATTTTTAGAGGTTTCTGGAATTTTTCAGGGATTTCTGAAGATTTTCAGGAATTTCTCGAAATTATTAGTGATTTTTAAAGATTTCTTGACATTTCTAGAGGTTTTTGGAGATTTTTGGATATTTCTGGAGATTTGTTAGAGGTTTTTGGAGATATTTTAGAGGTTTCTGGAGATTTTTTAGAGGTTTCTAAAGATCTCCAGGGTTTTTCAGACATTTCCAAGTTTTTTTGGTAAATTTTAGGCATTTCTGATGATTTTTAGGAATTACTAATGATTTTTAGGAATTTCTGATGAATTTTAAAAATCTCTTGTAAGTTTTGAGGGATTTCTGGTGATTTTCAGAAATTTCTCAAGACTCTCAGGAACTTTCTGGTTTTTTAGGATTTTTCATTATATTCCATAAAATAACGATCTGGTTTCTGGATTTTTTCAGGAATTTTTGGACATTTCGAAGAATCTCTGATTTCTGATGATTTTTTAGATTTTTGAAGATTTTTAGAAGTGGCTGGAGATTTCTAGAGATTTTTGAAGATTTTCAGAAGTGTTTGGAGATTTCTGAAGATTTTTTAAAGGTTTCTCAAAATTTTTAGAGATTTTTAGAGATTTCTGGACATTTTTAGAGGTTTCTGGAGATTTTTAGAGATTTCTGAAGATTTCCAGAGAGTACTGAAGATTTTCAAGAATGCCTGGTGGTTTTTAGGAATCATGGATAATTTTTAAGAATTTCGGATAATTTTCTCAGGAATCTCAGAAATTTCTGGTAATCTACTGGAATTTCTGGTGAACTTCAGAAATTTTCTGATAATCTTTAGGAATTTTTTGGTAATCTCCTGAAACTTCTGATCATTACCAAAAAATTCTAATGTTCCTTAAAAAAATCTGATGATCTACATAAATTTTTGACAATATCCAAGTAATCTCTAGAAGTTTAAGAAGATTTATAAGTGTTTAAGAAGATCAATAGGAGTTTAAAAGGATCTATAAGAGTTTAAAAAAATCTATAAAAGTTTAGGAAGATCTATAAGAGTTTAAACAGATCTTAGGAGTTTGAAAAGATCTATAAGAGTTTAAAAAGGTCCATAAAAGTTTAAAAAGATCTATAGGAGTTTCTGGTTATATTCAGGAATTTTTTTTAATTTGTTTTTTTTTAATTTGTTAATCTTTGGTTAACACCAGGAATCTCTGGAGATCTCCAAAAAAAATTCTTGAGATTTTCAAGAAATTCTAATTGATTTTTGAAAACTTAAAAAATTATTTGGAGATTTTCAGGAAATACTGATTGATTTTTGAAAACTTAAAAAATTATCTGGAGATTTTCAGGAAATACTGAACTTAAAAAATTCGTTGGTGAACCCTGAAATTTTTTTGGTAAATTCCCATAAGTTTTTGGTAAACTTTTGGATCTTATTATCAACCAAACCACAAGCTACATATCATCCAAACACATTCCATAACCACATCAGTATCTACCATCCCTTACCTTCAACAAACAAGAAAAATCCATTCTCATCTCTCCCAAGAACATCAATAGCCTTATCAACCATATCAGACAAACTAGGCTCCATATCTTCTTCGTCGTCGTGAACAATATCCAAATGATACTTGCAATGATCAGGTTCGAACAAACCGAGTAAATAATCCGTGTTATGGCCATCGACTTCATCAAGTTGCTTTTTGTTCCAGACATAAGAAAAGTTACCCAAAGTCCATTTATCTAATTTCCATTGTTCGATCAAATCGCGTCCATCTAGGCGGAAATTCTCGCCATCTTCTTCGTCAGAGGCGTCTTTGGGGCGGAAATAGGAACGACCACCGCCCATAATAACCTGGGTAATAAATTTATATGACTGTTATTGTTAAAATACTTAATAATTAATTAATTAAAAACTTATAATTTAAAAAACACTAAAAAAAGTTGAGAAACAAAATATTGATTTTTTTTTAATTATTATTTTCATTGTTAAAATATTTAATAATTAGTTAACTAAACTAGTTGGTATTGGTATTTTGCCCTGAGGCAAGTTACATGAACTTCCCGATGTGTGTAAATAATCGACTTAATCAATAATAAACAAATTAGTTTATGAGTGTATAGAAGTATTCCGAGAGGATTCATTACACATGAACTCGTTAACTCGGAATATTTTCTAAGAGCAAATTTTCAAAAATCAACAATTTTTATAATTGAACCGGTTTTTGTAGGACTTTAATGGTTAAGTTTATGTTCATTAAGACCAAGTACTCTATCGATAAACAAAGTGAATCGTCTGATTTTAATTTTAACAAACGTCAAAAAAACTACTCATTTTCTCAAACTTTGATGAATTTTTAAAATAAAACTACTTGTCGTAAGGCCGTAATATTTCAGTAAGTTTATAAGACCATGATATACATCGCCAAAAAAAGTTCCATATAAATCGGCTTAATTTTTTTTTTCAACAGTTAATTACAAGAAAACGGCTCGGTAGATTTTCACCTAAATCTGATCAGTATCATTCCCAACTAATATCTTTCGAACAGTTTTTGATTTTTTAAAATCGATTCGGTAGGATGAGCTTAAATGTGGACGAAAAGTTTAACACCTTTTTCCAATTTACAAAGAAACGGCCCAGCCGATCGCCGCACAAAACTGACAAATGATAGTCCTCATCGAGATACATCGAGTGGCTTTTAAATTTTTGAAATCGGTTCAGGCGTTTTTGAGTAAACGCCGATCAAAGGTCTAATTTTGACAAATGCCAAAGAAATGATAATAATTTTTGCAAACTTTGACGAATTTTTAAAGCTAAACAAGTTGTCGTAGGACGGTAATATTGTAGTACTCTGGTACTATGGTACCATGGTATCTATAAGGCAAAAAATGTGTTCACGCACACACACACACACACACACATACTTTTTCCAAATTTGGTCTCATTCGATTCAGAATGGCTTGAAACGTCGAGAAAACATAAAATTAGCGAATCGGATATTTTGATGAAAACATAAACTTCTCCTTCGGGAAGTTAATAAATTGTTTTTCAGTTTGCTCGTCAGTAGAGTTCTTTCTTATAAAATTGTCTTCTTTTTCAATTTGCTCGTCAGTAGAGTCCTTTTTATAAAATTGTCTATTTTTTGTTTGCTAGTATATATATATATATATATATATATATACTAGCAAACCCGACGAACTCCGTTTCGCCACCAGATGGTTTTGTGAGAAAGATGAAGGAATTTTTTGTTTGTTTTATATTTGAAAAGGAAAAATTTGATTTTATTGCACAACATTAATGAATTTATTTCGATTACAAAAATGGAGTGTTTTTTAGTTGAACTTCTCTAAGTAAATGAAAGTGAATCCGCAAATTATCCGATTCATTGAAGTGCTCTTTGGTAAACCACATTTTTTGTTTTTTGGTCTGACGTTAACACAAACAAAGCGGATGGTTTTCCAACTCGTGAGCAGGCAACGTATAACAGCCCATTTGAAAAACAATGATTTTCTAAATAATCTATTTGATATTTATCCCGCAAACACTAAGCTATTGGCCTTGCGACTTGTTATTGCGAACGCAAGGCGAACTGGAAATTGCAATCGTTTGAAGTCAAACGGAAGACCAGTCGGAATCATTGGTATGTCACCAAATCGCCAGCAATTTTTGATTGAATGGTGAAATTCAGTGCGTGAACATCATTATTCTTTGCGGCAAGAATTGCTCGTTGACTTAACCAAGCATAATTATGATAATTCTCACTAATGTCATCACTCGAATTTTTAATTACTGTGCGGCAGTTTCAGCAATTTGCCTTAAGGCACGATGCCATACACCACTAGTTTTAGTTCTGGTGTGATGTTTATTACCTTAAAGTGTTTTCCCGGTTCGTGGTTGATGAGTTGTTCGGCAATGTCTGGGCAAATTTTAGGGTCTTCCCCGTCTTTGACGATGTCTGCATCGCATTCCCAGTCGCGATCGGCGGTGTTGGCGTAAGTTCCAGCAGGTGAGGCGTGGGTGACCCGAGTTGTGGTTACGAAACCTGGTTAAAGACAAAATTTGTTGTAAGAAAAATTTTGATAAAATAGTATTTTTATCTTTCTTGAATTTTTGGGGATTGACTGGAATATCTGATGATTGTTTGTTAATTTTGATGATTGACAGGAATTTCTGATGATTGGCAAGAAGTTTTTATAATTTATAAGAAATTTTATTAATAGGCAGGACTTTCTGGTGTTTTCCAAGAATTCCTAGTGTTTTTGTAGGAATTTCTGGTATTTTCCAGAAATTTCTAACGTTTTATAGAATTATCTGGTGTTTTCTAGGAGTTTCTAGTGATTGCAAGGAGTTTCTAGTGATTGCAAGGAGTTTCTAGTGACTTCAAGGAGTTTTTAGTGTTGCAAGGATTTTCTGATAATTGATAAAAGTTTCTGGTGTTATCAAGGATGTTCTGGTAGGAATGTCACGATGTTTGTGTGATTATAAGAAATTTCTGGTGACTGCCTAAAGTTTCTGGTATTTTTCAGAAATTTGTGGTGTTTTTTTATAAATTTTTGGTGATTGCTAGGGCTTTCTGGCGTTTTCCAGGAATTTCTGGCGTTTCTGGTAATTTTAAGCAGTTTCTTACGCTTTTAATGAGTTTTCTTGCGGTTTTAATGAGTTCCTGGTGATGAAGGAGTTTTTGATGATTGACAGGATATTTCAGTGCTTGTCTGGATATTTTGGTGATTTTAAGGAGTTTTTGGAGATTTTAAAGAGTTTTTAAAGATTTTAAAGAGTTTCTGGCGATTTCAAGGAGTTTCTGACGATTTCAAAGAGTTTCTGACGATTTCAAGGAGTTTCTGGCGAATTCAAAGACTTTCTGGCGAATTCAAAGACTTTCTGGCGATTTCAAGGAGTTTCTGGCAATTTCAAGGAGTTTCTGGCGATTTTAATGAGTTTATAGTTATTATAAGGAGTTTCTGGTGATTGAATTGACGTTTGTCAGAAAATTTCTGGTGACTGTCAGGAATTTTTTGTGTCTGTTTGGAGTTTTTGATGTTTGTGTGGAGTTTTTGGTGACTTTAAAGAGTTTCTGGTTATTATAAGGAGTTTCCGGTGATACTAAGAAGTTTCTGGTGATTTTAATAAGTTTCTGATGATGCTAAGAAGTTTCTGGTAATTTCAAGGAGTTTTTGGTAATTTGAAGGAGTTTCTGGTGATTGCCAGGATATTTCTGGTGTTTATCACGGACTTTTACTGTTTGCCAGGATGTTTCTGGTGATTGCAAGGTGTTTCTGGCGAATGAAAGGAGTTTCTGGCGAATAAAAAGTATATCTGGTAACCGTCAGGCGTTTCTGATGATCGTCACAGTATTATCTGGTTTTTGCTAGGATGTTATACAGTGATTGCTAAAAATTTTCTGGTGTTACCCAGTAAATTTCTCGTGTTCGCCAAAATTGAAAGAAAGTTTTGAGAATTAAAAAAAAGTTTTGATGACTGGAAGAAAGTTTTGATGGTTGTAAGAATTTTCGGTGTCTGTTTGGAGTTTTTAATTGTAAGTATGTTCTGGAGACTGTTATAATGCTTGTCAGAAACCTCTGGTGTTTGCCAAGAAATTTCTGGTGTTCGCCAAAAAATTTCTGGTGTTCGCCAGGAAATATCTGGTGTTCGCCAGGAACTTGTGGTATTTGCCAGAAATTTCTGGTATTCGCCAAGAAACTTTTGGCGTTCACCACAAACTTCTAGTTTTTGCCAGGAAATTCCTTGTTATCCATTAACTCACCTGCTGCTTTTCCAGCCTTCTGTGCCCAATGTGCAATAGATTTCACATGATTTTTCTCATCAGCCATGGCTTCACAATCATCACGTTTCACATTGGCAGTAACACCAATAGTCCCATCATTAGTCTTGACACCACACAAATAGGCAGTAGCACTACAGGCACTATCAGCAGTTTGGGCATCTACACAATAAGTCTGAAAAATGAAAAATAAAACTAGTGATGTATGGCATCGTGCCTTAAGGCAAATTGCTGGAACTTTCCGTACCGTAAAGAAATATTCGAGAAATTCTAAACGTTTTCAAATATATTATTACAAATACTCTGTAACTTTCATTATTTTTGCTATCTTTTAAGCAAACTATAATAATAAATATAAAAAGGGACTCTACTGACCAGCAAATTAATAATAAATATAAATAGAGACTCTACTGACCAGCAAATTAATAATAAATATAAGAAAGGGACTCTACTGACGAGCAAATTAATAATAAAAATAAGAAAGGGACTCTACTGACGAGCAAATTGAAATAAAAAACATTTTTTAGAAAAAGAACACTACTGACAAGCAGTCAATAAAAACGCATTTGCAAATAATTCTGTGCGACATTTTCACTTACACTGTGCTTAGCATGGCAGCATTTTCACATTTTTTAATAGTTTTTTGAAATTTATAGTATTTTGTTAACGTAAAGTAAAATTCTAAAATTGTTGTGTGTTAGTAGAGTCCCTTTTCTCCAATTGTTCGTCAGTAGAGTTGCTCTAACTTGATCGTCAATAAAGTCCCGTTTTACAGGACAATTCATGTTAGTGAAATTTTTTTTTTAGCATTGCTCGTCAGTAGAGTCCCTTTACTCGAGGTTTCTTGTTAGTAGGATATTTTTACAAGCGTACTTGCTTGTTAATACAGTCCCTTCTGTTCAAATTCAAAATTTACATTATACCGCCAGTAGAATCCTAATTTTTTTAGTTCCTTGTCAGTAAAGTTCTAAATTTATTCTTGGTCGTCAGTAGAGTTCTTAATTTTGCACTTCCTAGTCGGTAAAGTTATAGAAAAAATTTCACTTAATTGTCAGTATAGTTGTAAATATTATACTTAGACAGTACTTAACATTATGTTTTGTTAATATTTTATTTGCTCGTCTCTGTATCTGAGATTACCCTCTGTTAGAGTCCCTTTTTCTGATATTGCTTGTCAGTAGAGTACCTTTTCTTCATACTTGTTTATCAGAAGAATTAGATATTTTTGTGAATTTACTTATAGATTAGAGTAGAGTTCTTTTTATTTACTTACCGGTAGAGTTCTTTGTATTTATTTGCCAAGTAAGTCCTAACCTTATACTATGTTTGTAAGAATATTTCTAGCTATTGTTGTAACTAATACAAAAATGCATTGCTCATATAAAAAATTTACTATTGGTGTATGGCATCGTGCCTTAAGGCAAATTGCTGGAACTTCCTGTATCGTAATGAAATATTCTAGAAATTTTAAATGTTTTCAAATATATTATTACAAATACTGTGTAACTTTCATTATTTTTGCTATCTTGTTATATCTGAGAAAATCAAATGTAAATCATAAATAAATCAATTTATCTCCAGAACATTAACAGTCGTCATTTCATTTCGAATTCAATTTAAAAAAAATAGTTGCCTCAACATTTACACAAAATTGAAAAAGTGCTCTAGTATAGTCACAGTCTAAACGCATTTGCAAATAATTCTGTGCGACCATTTCACTTATACTGTGCCTAGCTTGGCGGCATTTTCACATTTTTCAATAGTTTTCACAAAATTAGAAAATCGCTCCAGTACAGAAATAATCTAAACGCACTCAGGTAAACATTTGTACCAGAGTGGCGCTTAGACTGTGCTTAGCCTGGCTAATTTTTTGAATTCTTAATCCAAAATTACTAAAATATTTTATGGAAAATAAAAAAAGATGTAATAATTTTATCATCAAAAGCAATTGCTTTGTCAATACAAGCAGAAAGTTTTTTTTATTAAAAAGGGACTCTACTGACGAGCAAACTAAAAAATCATTTATTAGAAAAAGGACTCTACTGACAAGCAAACTGAAAAAAAGGACAATTTTATAGAAAAAAGACTTTACTGACGAGCAAACTGAAAAAACAATTTATTAGAAAAAGAACTCTACTGACAAGCAAACTAAAAAAACAATTTATTAGAAAAAAGACTCTACTGACGAGCAAACTAAAAAAAAGAAAATTTCATAGAAAAGGACTCTACTGACGAACAAACTTTAATAATAAATATAAAAAGAGACTCTATTGACGAGCAAATTAATGATAAATATAAAAAGAGACTCTACTGACGAGCAAAATAAAATTAAAAACCCTTTTTTGGAAAGGGACTCTACTGACGAGCAAATTGAAATAAACATTTTTTAGAAAAAGAACACTACTGACAAGCAGTAAATAAAAACGCATTTGCAATTAATTCTGTGCTTAGCTTGACGGCATTTACACATTTTTCACAAAATTGAAAAAGTGCTACTGTACCAAAACAGTCTAAACGCACATGGGTAAACATTTGTACCGGAGCGGCGCTTAGACTGTGCTTAGCCTGGGTAATTTTTTGAATTTTTTGAATTTTTTATCAAAAATTACAAAGATGTTTTATGGAAAATAAAAAAAAATGTAATAATTTTCTTCAGTTAATTTCTGGGTTTCTTTGTCCTCTTACCTTCGATAATCCGGTGTAAGGAAACGTCTCAAAGCTCAGCTTTTCTTTTTCGCCTCCAAGGACCATTCTGGTGGCTGTCAATGTGGGTATGGACATACCGTCTCCCAAGAACATGATTACATTTTTGGCCCTGTTGGTGTTGTGTTTGACGCCCAATCTGGCCTTTAGGGTTTCCTGGGCTTGAGAGTTCCAATAATCGGCTGTCAGTTCTTCCGGGGCCACATTGGCGCCGGAATAGATGCGTTTTTCGTGGGTGTGGAACTTCTCTTCGAGAAGAACTGAAAAAAAAAATAATTTTATTATTATCAATATTAGGGACAATCAATAAAGGAACTCTACTGACGAGCAAGATAATGTCTCAAAGCGTTTAATTAATTTTTTTGGTTGTAAGATTTTTTTTTGAATGTTTATTATGATCCAAATGTTCATGAAAATTTGTAGATTTAATGTGAATATTTTGTAGATTTATTTTACTTTCTTAGACAGTTTTTTGTTAGCCCGTCAGTAGAGTCCTTTCTTAAAATTAATGCGTCAGTAGAGTCCCTTTTCTTTTCCTGAGCACTTTTTAACTTTCCGTAGGGTAAAACATAGTAATGGGCCGAAAATCGAAAATGGAAATTTTTGCATTTCTCGACGTTTTGAAGGTCTCTGAACATTTTGGCATACCTCAGAAAGAATGGATGTATGTGTGTGTGTGTGTGTATTTTGTATGTCCGCGTTTTTTCGTCCACGTTTTCGGGCGCTCGGATCAGCCGATTTGAATGGTTTAAAAAACATTCGATCCTTATTGATAGGGAGATGCGCTGATTAGTTTTTGCAAAAGGCAGGTCCAGCCGTTACGGAGATACGGAGCAAAGAGCGCAGAAAATACAAATCGAATATTTGAGAGAATGGAGTATCGGATTTGACTGATCTAAAAACATTCAATTCGTAATGATTGGTAGAAGAGGTGATTAGTTTTTGGCAAAGTCAGGTCCCGCCATTTCGAAGATACGGAGCTAAATGTGCAAAAAATTGCGGTTTTTTAATGAACTAAGCGTCCAATTTGAATAATTCAAAAAACTTTCTGCTTGTATTGACAAAACAATTGCTTTTGAGGATAAAAAATTATTACCTACATATTTTTTTATTTTTCATAAAATATTTTTGTAATTTTGGTTTAAAAATTAAAAAAAATACCCAGGCTAAGCACAGTCTGAGTGCCACTCTGGTACAAATGTTTAACCAGGTGCGTTTAGACTATTTATGTATCGGAGCACTTTTCTAATTTTGTGAAAACTATTATAAAATGTGAAAATGCCGCCGAGCTAAGCACAGTATAAGTGAAAATGTCGCACAAAATTATTTGCAAGCGCGTTTAGACTGTGACTATGCGGGAACACTTTTTCAAATCTCAGAAAAGGGGACTCTACTGACGAACAATCTTAGAAAAAGGGACTATACTGACGAGCAATCTCAAAAAAAGGGACTCTACTGACGAGCAATCTTAGAAAAAGGGACTCTACTGACGAGCAATCTTGAAAAAGGGACTTTACTGACAAGCAATTTTAGAAAAGGGGACTCTGCCGACGAAAAACGACTATAATGACGAGCTAGTCAAGACAAAAAGACTCTACTGAAAAGCAAGGATTTATTCTGATGTACAATATAATATAAGTAGTGACTCTACAGACGCACAAATTTTAGGAAAGGACTCTACTGATGAGCAAACAAAATGAACAGTACTATCACACAAGTTTCGTGAAGAAACTAACACAACATTTTTGAGAAGGGACTCTACTGACGAGCAAACAAATAATTGACTAAGGAATTACATATGAATCTCCAAAATGTTAAAAAAAAATATATAACAAAATAACTCAGTAAATTAACTGTTTGTTCTATAACAGTAGGAACAAAGTTAAATAAAGTCAACAATACTTATATAACTTAAAACACATTCAGGAAACTTTATTATATTCTTAAGAAAATAAGACAAAGCCATAAGATACTTTTACACTAAACCAAGTAAATCTTATATCAACGTTCAACCATACTCTTATACCTAGTAACTAAAGCCATCTATCCCTTACCATTATCATCCCCGCATCCAAGACTCGCACCACCGAACAAAACCAGGGCAAGACCAACCACCAGATGAGTAGCACCACCGGCAGATGTCCTCATTTTTCCTTCCTGATCTTTGTCTTTTTTTTGGAACACACGAGCACCAGTTTTTCGAAAATAACTTTTGGAACTGATAACTTATTGATATCAGACTTACGAATTTATATAGACTTACGCACGTAAACGTAAACTGATAGTTGGGATATTGATAGAGATTATTGATTAGAGATTTATGATTAGTTGATTGGTGATTAGAGCAATGTTGGGGATTATTGAGATAAGATGTAAAAATTAATGATAAGTGTGAAATTTGATTATTGGGAATGATTGGTGGATTTTTTTAAGAAAGGGTTTTGTAAATTTTATTTATATTATTCTTAACCAACTATCCTTTAATGTTCCAAGGCTATCTACACGTTCACAATTATTTTTCAATTATCCTACTCCTAAATCTAATTCTCTCTTAAATTCGCCTATTCTACTTATGTCCTCTAACTTTAACTTAATTAATAATGAAATAGATATTCACAACACTTCACCTAGTCAAATAATCTCCATCTGCACAAGTTAACCTTTTTATTTTCTTTTCAAATATCTTATTATTTTATCTTATTCTGTTTATAAATAATATTGTTACATTCTGCATTATATGTAATTTTATGTTAAGCATTTTATGTTAATAACTATATATTGTAATTCTGTATATATTTTTATTGTTATTCATTATTTAAAATAATTGTATTTTTGAGTCCTCTTGGAAGAAATCTGTAGGCTAAATATTTAAAATAAATAAATGAATATGTATATATATATATATATATATATATATATATATATGTGTTCTTTAAAATGATTTCGATCTTCAGATATGTTAGTGAAAATATTCAGATTTTTTTTTATTTTTTCCATACGTTTCGACATATCATCTTTTAGTGAAATTTAAAATAAATAAGTACTTCGAAATAACTGCATTAACATTTCACAAAAGTGCGATATAACATTTTTTTCTCAATTTCGACAAAGTAGAAATATATTTTTAATTTATTTATATCAATATGATATATATTTTAATATTAAAATATATATATTTTGATGCATAATTTAATATTGTGATGTAAAAATATATAATTTTGTCAAATTGGATTTGTGCAACTGGAAGTTCTCAAAGATAGTGTGTTTTTTCATTAGGAGTGTTTTTTCCATTGCAAGTGTGTTTTCTGGTTTGAGAATGTGTTTTTATTCATTGGAAGAGTGTTTTTCCCATAAAAAAAGTGTTATTTCCATAGGAAAGTGTGTTTTTTTCGTTGGAAGTGCGTTATTTCCATAGAAAGTGTGTTTTTTCTATTCGAAGCGTGTTTTTCTAACTAGAAGCGTGTTTTGTAATTAAAAACATGTTTTTGCCTTTGGAAGTGTGTTTTTCCTATTTAAAGTGTGTTTTTTTTTTAATTAGAAGTGTGTTATTCCCATAGGAAGTGTGTTTTTCGTATTGGAAGTGTCTTTTGCCTATTGGAAGTGTTTTTTACCATCTGAAATGTGTTTTTACAATCTGAAGTGTGTTTTTTGGTTTGAGAATGTATTTCTCCTATTGAAAGTGTGTTTTTCCACCTACAAGTGTGTTAATTGGAAGTGTGTTATTCTCATTGAAAGCGTGGTTTTCTAAATAGAAGTGTTTTTTTTCATCTGAAATGTGTTTTTATTATCTGAAGTGAGTTTTTACCATTAGAAGTATGTTTTTCACCATCTAAAATGTGTTTTTTACCATCTAAAATGTGTTTTTATTATCTGAAGTGATGTTTTCCCATTGGAAGTGTGTTTTGTTTTGTTGAATGTGTGTTTTTTCTATTGGAAGTGTGTTATTTCCCATTCATTTTAAGTGTGTTTTTCCTATTGGAAGTGTTTTTTTTACCATCTAAAATGTGTTTTTTCACCTTCTAAAATGTGTTTTTTTTACCTTCTGAAATGCGTTTTTTACCATCTGAAATGTGTTTTATTATATGAAGTGTGTTTGTTCCTTTGAAAGTGTGTTTTTTTCAAAAGAAATTGTGTTTTTCTCAAAGAAAATGTGTTATTCTCATTGAAAGTTCGTTTTTCCATTGACTCATGATTTCGACTTATGGAAATTACTTATTTGACTTGGAACTGCTTATTTAGACTCGGAAATTTTATATTTGAATTTGGAAATGCTAATTTCGACTTGGAAATGCTAATTTCTACTTGGAAATGCAATTTTTGGACTCGAAGATGCAATTTTAGACTTGGAAATGCAATTGTCGACTTCGAAATTTCATATTTAGACTTGAAAACTTTATACTTGGACTTGGAAATTAATATTTCAACTTGGATATGCTAATTTCGACTTGGAAATGCTCATTTCGACTTGGAAATTAATTATTTGGACTAAGAAATTAATTATTTAGACTTGGAAATTAATTATTCAGACTAAAAAATAAATATTCAGACTTAAAAATGAATATTCAACTATATTTTTATTTTGATGTGTGTTTTTCGACTTACTAGTGTATTTATCAAATGCAATTTAAATTTTTATTTATTGACACATAATTATTTGCCAATTATAACAATTTAACAATCAAAATTATCCGTTCATTATCTGATATGGATACGGCCTATTAATTTATTAATTAAATTTAAAAAATGTCATGAATGTTTTATTATTAGATCTCTTATGTAATCTTATCACAAGAGATTTAGTGATGAGATAGTTTTTTTAGTACTCGTGTACTTCTTATCTTTTGGGTATATAAGGCGAAGAGATTATTGATTCGTAATTATTTCATTAGAAAATCACATTTTTATTTTTATAATCAAAACTTTTTTGGTCGAAAAGATTTATTAACATTATTTATTCAATTATTTGGTCAATTTTTTTGACGTGTGTTTGTCGAAAATGAGGTTGGTTTGTTGAAAATGAGGTGTGCATGTCAAAAATAAGTTGTGTATGTCGAAAACTTTACTGCCAAAATGAGGTGTGTTTGTCGAAAATGAGGTGCACTTGTCGAAAAAAGGTGGGTTTGTCGAAAATTTTACTGTCAAAAATGAGGTTTGTATGTCGATAATGAGGTTTGCATGTCAAAAATGAGGTTTGTATGTCGAAAACTTCTATGTCGAAAATGACGTCTGTATGACCAAAAATTTGAGGTTTGTCGAAAACTTTATTGTCGAAAATGAGGTTTGTATGTCGAAAACTTTAATGCCAAAATGGGGTGTGTATGTCGAAAACTTCTCTGTCGAAAATGAGGTCTGTATGTCTAAAAATTTATTTGTCGAAAATTAATTTCTGCTGTCAAAAGTGAGATTTGTTAGTCGAAAACTTTACTGGCGAAAATGATAATGTTTGCCGAATAGTCTTTTAATTAAAATTTCGATATTTTTTACTATAATTGATGTTACAGTATAAACAAATCCAATAAATTAATAATAAATATACACTTTACCAGATTTTTAAATAATTATCTTATTGCAATCCTTATCTATTAAATTTTATTAGCAATTAATTTGTCAATCGTCAAGGCCTAATTAAGAACTGATAATTAGTCTTGCTTAAATTAAATTTCATCTTTTGTGATAAAATTGCGATGAAACGATAAAAAATCTAAGAATTTTTGCGATAAATTTTGAAACAGTGATTTTATAAATCTATTTTATCTTAATATATGCGAAAGATGAAGAAACTCATTACGATTTTAGTTACAAATTGTCGAAAATAATTTGAGAAGATAATAAAACTTTTCATAAATACTTATATGTATATATTTCTATTACAAAAACAGTACAAATTAATTTTTTTGGGGTCAATTCTGCGGTAAAATAAACGATAACATAGTATTGTTATGGCAACGCTGTCTTATTCTCTTTTCTTTGTACAAAATCTGTGAAAATGTCTTTGTATTTGCTGCACGATCAGGCGTATTTACTTGCAAATTTTATTGTTTCTGATTAATTTGCAAAGGATTTATAAAAAATCTTGCAATAAATTTCAAGAAACATTGTTATTTCTCAGTGTTGTGTTTGCGTACTGTCAAAATCGATGGAAATTTCTAAAATTTTGATAATTCATATATGATCTAAAGTTTTTAATACTACCTATAACTTAAGTTAGTTATGAGTGCATAGGGTGAGCCAATAAAATTTAAAATCGGTTCAGTAGTTTGCGAGTTTATTCAGGACAAACATTGTGACACGTACTTTATATATAAAAATCGATTTTTTTAATTAAAACTTTACACATATATGTATATTTATATATTTCCATTACAAAAACGTTACAAACTAATTCTTAATCCTTAATCTAACAATCTATCCCTCAATCTAATTATCTACTCCATCGCACGCCTTAGCGCCTGGACCGATGCAACCAGCATAAGCCATCAAATGGGGCACCACATTTTGTTCGAAATTTCCAGTGAAGAGGTGACTCCAGGGCCCTTTTGCGAAAAGGGCCACATCTTGGCCACCATGGGATTCCCTTTTTAGGTTTACCATTGCTGGAAAACGTAGATCTATGTCGTGGGTGTCTAAAATTCTGATGTCTCTTCTTCCACCTGGGAAAAATAGATAAGAAATGAAATTTTAGGGCAAGGCCTATATATATATATATATATATATATATATATATATATATATTTACCTTTTCTTTTTGTGTGTTCAGTATATCCTGGACCATTGGCGTAGCTCAATGTCGATATTGGCAGATCGTCATGGGCGATTTGGGCAAAACCCAAAATATCATTACCACGATTCTGAAAAAAAAATCAAATATTCATATTTAGGGTGGTCCTTAATATGGATATTTTCGAATTTCTTTGCTCCCAAGGGCTCAAATGTTTCCATATTGACAAAAGAAAATTCTCTGAAAGTTTTAGCTCTTAATATTAACTTTAAGACAGTCTGCACTCTAATCAAAGTCTCTTGATTTTTCTACCTAAGTAAATACTTATTTTATAAAATGTATCAAATTTTTGTTATAAATTTATTTATGATCAAAATAAGCAAATGCAAAGTTATTCTCAAAATGTTAATTCACTTGTCGCTAAGTTATAAAATTCTAAAAAACAAATGGAATTTTACCAGTAAGAAACTTT